AAAGAAGATATTGAACATGAATATCAAGCCAGCAACTATTTCATTTAATTGGCAAACACTGAGATTCACTCATATTTCTCCAAGCTAGTTTCTTGGAGAGGATGGTCACAGAATAAACTCTCTTAAATATTGTCCTCAAAAGCCAAAGCAAAGTGATAAATATGATAAGAAAAAGACATGAGGAAAGTTACTTTCCAAAATTTTTGACTGTATTGAAAGAAAAAAAATACATAGAAAAATCCATGGAAATAATTTCTGGTATAATCAAAGAATTCAGTGATGTTACTAATAAGCATAGCATAAATCCAGAAATTTCCCATAAAACTAAGGCAACAACTTAAAACATACAATGAAAAGGACATTTTCTTTCCTGAGTAAATGAAAAAATTCACCAGAAAAGTTTCTGATGGATTATCAAGAACAGGTGCAGGAATACTCCCTACAACACTTTACTGGTGAACACCAAAGACCTTTGAAAAGGTAGCCTGTGTAAATGGCCAATAGGTCAAAGAATATATCGTTCTAATACAACTAAAATAAAACATTCCAATGGGTCAAGATAGGCAGTTTACAAGTCATTAGCGAAGTCATCAGTAAAAATAAAGAAGAAAATTTAGGAAATCACATTTTTAAGCAAATGCTAATGAGGTAATGCTTACAATATCATATGTTTAAGTAAAAACAGATATAATATTTAAAACTATATACTCCTAGAAAGCAGAGTATGGAACAGAATATAAAAGTAAAAATATATCATGGTATATATGTGTGTGTATACTACTTAGATAACAGCATTACGTAAGTAACAATACTAAACAATTTTAAAGGGTATATTATTCTAAAATACAAAATTGGGGCCAGGGATGTAGCTCAGTGTCACAGCATCTGCCTGGCAAGTGTGAGGTCCTGAGTTTGATTCCCAGTACAAATAAATAAATAAATAAATAAATAAATAAATAAATACGGACAAAATAATTCAATAGTAAAAGTGACATGAATTAAACTATGTAAATAAATAGCTCATAAATCTTGATAGTGGTTACCTGGATCACTCGGATATGGGTACTTTTTTGTGTTTTCTAGATATTATTTACTCATTTGGAAGAATAAACTGTATTTTTTTAAAAATTAAAATCAATTATCTTTTTAATTTCAAACATTCACGTATTTTCTAGGGGCTGGGGATTTAGCTCAGCGGCAGAGCGCCTGCCTGGCAAGCGCAAGGTCGTGAGTTCGGTTCCTGGTACCAGAGGAAAAAAAAAAAAAAAAAAACATTCACGTATTTTCTGTTAGGTTTATGTTTTATTTTTCGGCGTTGTCCCAACAAACGACAGACGCAAACAAACGCACTCTCCTCTGTAGATGCTGCGGGGAGCACAGGCTAAAGCAGCAACTCTGTAATTTGGGAAAATACATGAGCTACGGAACTTTTACTGCAGCACAGCGCTGAGATCTGAGCCTTGTGTTCTTATTAACGGAGGGACACATGGAGACAGGGCCGCTTGGCTGAGAAGCGGGAGGCAGTGGGGGAGGGGATACACATTGCGACGAGCAGGGGCTGACTCGGCAAAACTGCTAAATGACTTTGCAAAAGACCTGTCACACTGGATAAACGGCGCCCCCAGAAGAAGCAGCTTAGCATTCCTGCAGTGCACACACAATATTATTCCAGGGATAAGACTGAGAGGAAGGAGAAAGGAAGAGGAAAGGAGAAAAGATCAAAAGATGCCGTCGCGAGTCTGTAAGCATTTCTTAAAGGAGCAGCTGGGAAGAGCACCGTAAGAGAAAACCCAAAGCAGAGAGCATGTACTTCATTTCACTGGGCAAACATTCACCGGTTCTGCTCAGGAGAAATGGTGAGTTCCTCTGTGGATGTTGACTACACTCTAATTGTTTTTATGGTAAATGAGGCGCGAAACCTATTGTCAGAAAACATGATGTCCGCAGTGTACAACCACATTACGTCTTCCCAGCAGGTCACTCCTGGGGTGGATGCTGTGAAGCCTGGGAAACTCAAATATGTATCACAGCCTTCCGTTTCTGTAAGGCAGACCTTTACAAAGGAGTCCCTACCGCCGCCCACACACATACCTTTTTCCTCATAATTCCGTCAGTGTAACATCAAAGAATCTTTCTGAAGGAAAGCAGATTCCCTGTTATACCAAAGAGAGAGGCAGGGGCTAAGGGAGGAGCGGGCAAAGGTTTCTTTAAAACATATGGAGAGTTGAGTTGACCAACGTTAGCTATACTCTGTATTTTACTAAGAATCCTGATGCTCATTAAATTCCTAAGATCTGATCTGCTGATTATTGTTTCTGAATTTAACCCTATTCACTGGAAACTAACTAAATAATATCAAACAGCCTGCTGCTGATTTGAAATTAGTAGATTTTATTTTATTTTATTAATTTCCCCTCTGTTCTCATTTAGTGAGTACAATATAAAATATAGTGAGTATATTTGTTGGATAAGATATTTTCTTTTCTTTTCTTTTCTTTTTTTTTTTTGAGACAAGTCTCACTATGTAGTTCAGACTGGCCTTGAACTCACTTGGTAGCCCACACTGGCCTCAAACTCACAGAAATCCTCCTGCCTCGGCCTCCTGAGTGCTGGGATTATAGGCATGTGCTGCCATACCCAGCTCCTTGGCTGGAGTATTTTCTGTTCAAGAAATTTTCAGGGTGATCTTTCTTCTCCACCATGTAGTCTTCAGGTCCTCTAACTAGGAGGCAAAATTTGTTTTGGTCAGAGTGCTTCATAATGATTAGGAAAATATATTGTGATACAAATCTGCATAAAATAATTTTTCTATTGCTGCCCTACACCAAACTCCATGCATCCTAAATATCATTTGCATCTATTTGAAATGAACATATTAATGACATCCTGTTTGCAGATATGTTGCCCTTAAGTTGCTGAATCAGCCTAAGAAGTGTTAGAGGTTGTGGCAGGATGTGCAGTCTCAGTATTCTTGGTCTGGTTGATAGTTGAGTGGGAAGCTAGGGTAGGGACAGATAAACTATCTTCTTATGATAACCTGCACTGCAGCCCCTGTATTTGAAGCCTGACACTGAATTCTTCAGACTTGAATTAGAAAAGGCATTTCTTTGATAGATTCCTTTCTGTTCCAGTTTACAAGCAACTAATCCTCACTGCATTGGATCAAGCAGATGGGCACAATCAATTCAGGGAAAGCAAGCAATGCCGGTTCTGCTCAAGCTTCCCTCAGTGAACAGTGGAGGAGAGAGGAGCAAAAAGCAAAGAATGAAAATTCAGTCATGCCGGTACCCAAGCTAGCTTAGCAAAGGAAAGATGAAAAGATGTATTGAAATATATATCCTGGCAGCTGGAAGCACTTGCTGCCAGAGAGAGTCTGAAAACACCACAATAATGCCAAACACACCAAGCCTTCAGACAGTGAAGGGCGTTGAAAGGAGCAGGGACAGACACAAGTGGTTGTAATGTCAAAGCTAAAAAAATCAGGCTGAGGCAGGAGGTTCGTTGCGAGTTCGAGACCAGCCTGGGCTACAAAGTGAGCTCAAGGACAGCTTGAACTGTATCGTGAGACGCTGTCTCAAAAAGACCAAAAAAAAAAAAAAAAAAAAAAAAAAAAAAATGTAGCATGCGAGTATGAGTGCTCTCTAATAAAAAAAAATCACCTAAATGTGACAGTGCACATCTAAAATCTCAGCTCTTCAGGAAACTGAGGCAGGAGAATCACAAGAACATGCTCAGCCTGGGTAACTTATTGACTTAGAGAAAACTTATCTCAAAATAAAAGAGAAAATTCAGAAGGTCCGGGAATGTAGCTGTGGTAGAGTATCTCTGGGTCCAACCTTCAGCAATGGGGAGCAGATGGTAACAATTAAAGAAATCTGCAGTAGCATCTCTAGAGAAGAAGGAAGTCCAGATTTACAGAAGTCTCCGTAGTCTATGATCTATAGCCCACTGTGATGAGCAAATTAATTACTACACTTAGGTAATTAACTCTCAGACAAACCAGGGCCTTCCAATGCAGTATTAATGTAACTGTTAGATCCTCCTAAGCTTGACTGCCCATTTGGTGGGAAGTCAAACTGGAATAGCAGCTTAACAGTAGCAGGTGAAAAAAAAAATGTATTAAAATGGGCCAGAAATACAATGGCCTTGGAAATGATGGTGCACTCTCTCTGTTTTTGAATGTGAAATGCATAATAAGCTGCCTCCTCAGTTAGGTAATTCTCCCTCCCTCCCTCAAAGTACAGGCAGTGGCTTAGCCTTCTTTGATTCCTCTGGCTCCTCCTGATCCTCTCTTCTCACACAGGGCCATTATCTCTTCCCTTCTTACTCATTGAATTTGTTTTGGTCAAGCCTAAAGTATTTGTTTGCAGGAAAGACATCATGAGGGCTTATCTGGGGAATGGTTCTCCATCCCTTGACTCATCAATGACCCTCACAGTTCTCAGAGCCCCAGCCTTTCCCTGCCTGGCAGTGAGGTTACTCAGGCTGAAGAATAATCCTCTCCAGGTGGTTCTCTCAGCTTCTGAGAAGGAACTGTCCATTCTCACTAGAGAATGTGGTGATCAAAACATTTCTTATCCCCAAATGCCTGACATTGGCAGTGATATTCCTATTCCAACTGAATAGTAGCTCAAAATCCTGTCAGCACATATATAAACACATAACTTGCAAATATATGTGTAAACATGTGTGTGCATGTCAGCAAGATGCATCTTCTTTATAATACTATCTGTAAACCACACATTATTTTAAAATACATGGTTATCTATTTTCACATATATGTGAACAAGCAGGCAGTACGTTCTTGTCTTCAGCAGAAAGTAAAGGGTGTCCTGATCTAGCTTACCAGAGAGCTTAACTGAACCTACCTTCATTCCAGAGCCCTTCCACATTTTCTGCCTGGCAAAGCCCTCCTTGACCCGCCTGGGTTGCATGGCCAAGAAATGCTGCAATAGTAACACAGGGGTCCAAATTTGCTCAGCCCCCTGCAAGCATCTTACCGCTGAAGATGGTGGTCCAGAGCATCTTCTCCAGCATTCAGAAGGGCTGAGGCTCGAGTCAGGAGTTGATGGCTGCAGCTTCCAGATTTGAGTTCCAAGATGAGGAGGCCCAAGCAGAACATGGCTCCCATCTCCTCCAGCTCACTGGTACCGAACTGTAGACCCTGCCAGTGAAACAAAGCGTTGAACAGTGGCCATGGACTGGGGATTGAGATGAGACAGTTTGAGATCTGAAGGAAGAACTAGACACACGCCCATCACGGAAACTGAGAATGAACAGCCCTCGACTCTCACTGTCCAGAGCATGTTGCTGAGCATTTGTACACAGGTGACTTTCAGCCTGTGCCATTCCCCGGGGATAATAGAGGATAGCAATGGATGTAGGGCCAGGAATCAGTCACCCATGCCGTCTAGTGCAGTGAAAGCAGCTCCGTACCTATCTATATTTCTAAAAAAGGTTTTGCTGCTAGAACAAAGATTATAAACAATCTTATTAAGATGTACTCTGTGGTTTGCCTAAATTTACCCATCAATGGACAAGAGTAGGAAACACAATTCAAGTACAAATACTGAAACTGAAAAATAACAGCAAAACAAAACATTTATTTAAAACTACCTTTTCATCTATACTGAGATTATACTTGAAAGCAAAATTGAGACATCTCTCTGGTATGATCCATTAGTAGCAGCTAATAAAAACAGTTAACAAAATTTCATTGAACACATACTATATGCTCAGCCCTGTCCTAAGCTCTTTCCCATGCATTAAATAGTGACTCTTTATTAAAGTACTATGAGGTAAAAATTTTTATTTTCTCCATTCTATAGACTAGGAAATTCAGACACATAAAACTAAGTAAAGTGCCTGGCTCCTAGAAACTAATAAGTCTGGAGGCTAGTAAGTGTATTCTGGTTAGATTACCCCATCACAAAATTCTACACACAGTTGGCCAAGCTTGATGGTGCATGCCTGTAATCCCAGCACTTGGGAGGCAGAGGCAGGAGAATCACTGAAAGGCCAACCTAGGCTACATAGTGAGTTCAAGTCCACTCTGAATTACATAGTGGAACCCTGCCCCCCAAGTAAAAAAATTATATACAGTCTTGGAGAGACTTAAGTAATAATTGGTAAAGTAGAAATTGAATCAGAATTGGCTTTGAATCAGGGTTTCACTTTTTTCTATTTGCATGATCTTGGATTTATTGAACTTTATTAGCCTTGATTTCCTCATCTGTAAAGTGGGATAATAAGTCTTCAACAGACACATAAGCATCTTATCATAGGAAATATTTCAAAATAACCATAACATTAATGCATATTAGCTCAATTTCTCATTCTCTCTTCCTAATAAAAATGTTTAATGTGAAAGAACTCAATATGGTCCCAGGTTTTTCATGTTTACAAATTACTTTTCATGGAACTAAAAAATAATCAATAGTAGATATTTTTAAAAAGTATATTATTATATTGTATAGTACATTTTAATAATATAATTACAAAGCCATTATACTTTTAAAATAGCTAAAAGAAAGGATTTTTAATTTTTCCAATATAAACAAATGATAAATATTTGATGCAATAGGTAGAATTATCTTACTTTGATCATTGCATATATGTATCAAAATACATTCTACATTGTGGCCCATAAACATATACAACTAAGAAAAGGTATGAGGGTGAAAAGCTCTAATCCCAGCACTTGAGAGGTTGAGGCACAAGAATCACTGCAAATTCGAGGCCAGCCTGGGCTACATAGTGAGTTCAAGGCCAGCTTGAACTACATAGTGAGGCTTTATCTCAAAATAAATAAATAAATGTACAACTATCATGTGTCAATTTTTTTTTAATTGCACATTTAGATGATTTATATGGAGGACAAAGGTGAGGCACTAAGAATTTTAAGAGTGGCCATAAGTATCCCAAGGACAAAACAAATTCCCAACTGTGAAATCATAAGCCTCACAAAAGAATCTCTAGGTAAAATCATAAAAAGAAATGGAAGGTCCTCAAGTTTACGTCATCTTTTTGAAAATTTGATTTGCTGCATAGCTTGACATCTGTTTCCGAGGAAAAGAGCCATTATTTCAGAGTTAAGAGAAGTCTATTGCTCTGTAAACAGCCTCAGTTCAAGGGGAAAGCTAGAGGGTGAACAAATTGTTTTCTTAAGTCAATAGAAAAGATTACTTCTTAAAGGGAAAGAAAAACCTGGAATGTCTTCACCTGTGCTGAAGCTGTAAGCTCTATCCACCCTGTTTTAATGAAGGCCTCTGTTCTTGGTTCAGAGAAAGGAATAGAAAGTTCTACCCTCCTGCTTTGTCAGTTACCTCTTTGCTGGTGGCAAAAGTGGGTCAACAAGAAGGATTTGAGAAAGCAGCCACCCCTCTGCCCAAGTAACTCCTCGTTCATGTCTGAAACCCCAACACCAGCAAAGCATGTGGTAAGTGCTCTGTAGAGGTCAAAAGAGAGACAAGTCCCTGGAGAAAACATCTCATAACACGCATCATATTGACAGGTAATGGCAATTCCTTCATTTCAGTCCATTTCGGTATCACAACAACTAAAGTGGTACCATTTTATAACGTGAAAGTACCTTTGTATTCCTAATGTTGGCACACTTATTTCAGGTAAAGGTTGGTGAATAATAAAAAGATTCACTCATCCAGAAAACCTCCAAGAGAATATACATCACTTTATGGGCTGTGGAAATATGGGAAGCCTTGTTCATTTTACCCTCTACTATTATTTTCTCTTCACTACACTATTCTTTTTACTCTCACACATAGTTGAAAATATTGGTTTGGTTTATGTTGTGGTCAGTGTTCTCAAGGAAAATAATATAAGACATATAATTTATGATTGTTTTATAATAATCAGCCAAAGAGTCATATACAAAGAGAGTACAAGAAATCTGTTCCACACTAAAAATCCAAAGAATCCAGCTGAGGGCCTGGATCCCATAGCAAAGTCCTTTCTGAGTCCAGCTGAAGACCTAAAGCCTATGACAATGCCTCATGCAAATATGTTTCATGGATTTGTGCTGGGAAGGCCCAAAGGCCAGTGGTAGAAGCTAGAAAGTCTGTGCCAGCAGGCTGAGGGATCTGCACTGGAGGAAGGAAGCAACATTCCAAGTAAGAAACAGAGCTCCCCCAAAGGTTCCACAGCCATTCTCAAAGACAATGAGGTCCCAAGCTCCTCTGAGATCCCGAGCTCCTCTGGCAATAACAGCCAAGCCCATATCAAGGAATCCAGTGCAATAAGCTTCTCCAGGACATTGAACAGTGCACCATCTTTTCTTCCAGAGCCAGAAAGCGATGGTCAAAGTAAGAACAAGAGCTCCACCAAAATGAACCATAGCCATTCTCGGCATCAACAAGGGCCTAAGCTCCTTCAAAGATGAGAACAGCCAAGTTCATATCAGGAAAGCCAGCATGACAACTTCCTCCAGGAGAATCAATAGCCCCAGCAAAACAAACAGCTCCCTAACAGCACCTAAACTTCTTCCCCTTCAGTTCTGCCCCTTATGCTTCAGACAACAATCCTCAGGTGGACCCTCTGTGCCCAGAAAGCACCTCACTGTTTCAATTCAGGTGGATGTTACAAGTTGACCACCAGTTATCAATCCACCACAGCTTATATGAATGAACTCTTCCCACTGAGAATTCTTGATATGGAAGTAAAATGCTCAGGGACATGGGCTGAGAGTATGTTTCTTTTTTAATTTTATATCTTTAGCTTGGAGCACATGCCTGTTATATGGCATATTCTCTGTATATGATAAATGGATAAATGATGGCTATCTATGTGTGAATATGGAGATGCAGGGATGGATTGTCACTGCGGTGCACATTTCATTGGTCAAGTAGAACTTCACTTCTCTGGGTAGAGAGTTCATGAGTACCTTCAAATTATGTTCTCCTATTATCAAATTTCATGAGAATTATATTTTTTAAATTTTCTTTTTGCTCCACCAGATTCATCCCTGTTACTTGGTGTGGTGTAGCAAGTGGGTAAATAACAGTTAGAAACTTCAGCCTCTCTCTTGGTTATCATAGACTCATGGTACAGAGGTTACAAATAAAGCTGGTTCTGGATTAGTATAAGAGTGAGTTTAGTAAAATAGAGATCCAATTTCCATGTCACACTGAATTAGTGAATTAGGGTGGATTGTGTTTGTTTGTTTTTCATGGTTTTTCAAAGAAAATAACAAACAGTCTGATTATAGTGACTTCAACAAAGAGGGCTATATTTTTCACTCATTATAATTTGGGGGGAGGTAGATGGTTCATGGTATGATTCCAGACACTTAAAGTCAGAGAATGCCATCTTATAGTCTCCTGATTTTTTATCATTTGCAAAGTGGTTGTCTGGCTCCAACCAGCGCTTCACCAGTCAAAAGAGGAAAGAGAGAAAATAGGAGAATAGGACACCAGCATAGTTTTGCTTACTTTTTACTGGCCAGAACTATGCATAACAGCCACTTTTAACTTTATGGTAGTTGTATTATTGAAGAGTTTAGCTTGTTGAACTCTTTAAAAGAGGAATGAAGGATAGAAGAAATTTTTGTTTGTTTGTTTGTTTGTTTTTTCTCCAGTACCAGGAATCGAACTCATGACCATGCACTTGCCAGGCAGGCATTGTGCCACTGAGCTAAATCTCCAGCCCCAGGATAGAAGAAATTAAAGATGCATATACAGGTCAGTCAACAGAGACGTCTACGCCAGTATTCGGATGCCAGTGCTGCTAGAAAATGTAAGTCCTTATCTATGCCTGGTAGCAATAAACATAATTTACTGGCACATTTTCTAAAGTTTACTTGAAAATCTACCTCCAAAAAAGAACATTCTTTACCTACTGATACGACAAAAAAGTGTCTAAAAAAGATAAGCTTAAATAGACTAAATGCTGATAATTAATGAGAAAGAAGAAGAACAATAGAATAAAATGTGGGAAAATACTGAAGTATTTAAATAAAAATGTTCTTTTATACTCAGAAAATTGGTAAACATGTATTCAAATTTATAATATTTAGGGCTGACTTCCTTTATCCCCAAAGCTGCAGATGTCAAAATGCCTGGTAGAAGTTTAAATTGATTCATACCTTTTGGGAAATTGCTCAATAACCTTTGACATGGTAATGTCACTTCAGGGATATATTCCTAATGA